TAATGAGCCAAGCCAGAGAGAATAGGAGACAGAGTGGGACGTAGAGGGGGCATTGGGAACATAGGGGGACAGAAGGGGGAATGTGGAGGAACAAAGGGGGATGTCGAGGGATGTGAGGGGTACTGGAGGGTGTAGGGGGATGTGGGAGGACAAGGACGGACATGGGAGGACAGGGAGGGTGAAAGTGGACAGGGGGAGGCTCCAGTAATGCCTGGCAAATGCACCTGTCTGCCCATGGCAGGGCGGTTGCTGTGGGCAGAGGAGGGTGCCCTCCAGGGAGGACAGAGGAAGCAGCCCAGCGTGTGGAGAACCCAGTGGAGAACCCACGCGGGCAGGAAGCCCAAGCCTTTTCCTTCTCAGTCCACAAGCCTGTGAGCTGGAGGAGCTTCTGCAATAGCTCCTTGTCCCTAGACTCCCTGGGGCCTGCTGGGTGCTCAGGGCAGGGGGCGCCATGAGGTCACAGTGACTGGGAAGGTCAGACAGGCGATCCAAGGAAGGCAGGAAGCACAGTGGGACCCCAGAGGGCCCTGCCCAGAGCTCAGGAGACCCTCTGGGGCTGGACCGCAGTGCGGGAGGGAGAAAGGCTGGGAGCTGCTGGAGGAGTTAGTGCCAGACGCCCAGACAGGCCCGGACAGTTAGCCTCCGGCAACCTGGCGGGGGCAGCCGAGGCCGTGCATGGTGGGCGCAGGAGCCGCTGAGCAGCAGGGACAGCAGGCCTGGGAACACTACTTACACAGAGTGGGCAGGGGGCCTTCAGCTTCCAGGGCCCCCGAGCCCCTCCTCGTGGAGCTCAGGACGTCAGGGACCCTGAGGGCTGGCGTGGACAGGAGGCAAAGCGTGAGGTGGGGCAGAGAAAGCAAGGCCCTGCTCTCTCCCGCCCTGGGACCGGTCTCAGCAGCAAGAAGCTGCTGGGCAGAGACCAGAGTGGGGCCTTAGCCCACATGGAAGGCCGGCTGAAGGGGCAGAGGCAGCCAGAGGGGACCCAGGAGGAGCACTGCTCCAGAGAGACAGGACCTGCAGCAGGGGCCTCCTGATGCAGAGAGAGCAGGGAGCTAACAGGAGATGGAGATGAGTTGGGGGTGTGTGGTTTCTGAGCTCCCCGAGCCCCTCCTCGTGGAGCTGCTCCTCACTGTCAGGAACCCTGGGGACTGGGGCAGACCTGTCAGGAACCCTGGGGGCTGGGGCAGACCGGTGAGATGAAACTGGAGACAGGTGGGGACACACAGGAAAGAGAGGACAGGGAATGGGACGAGGACCCCGGTGGGGTCAGGCTGAAAAGGCCCAGACACAGCTCACAGCGGCCCCAACACCAGGTGGTGGGGTCCAGAGGCAGTGGGGAGGCGGGAGGCGGGGCTCCAGGAGTGCTGGGAGGTGTCCAGACCGATGACCTTCAGTGTGCGGGAGTCTGCCCTGTTTCCTGGGGCTGTGGGGGTCTGGGCTGGGAGGAGGCTGGCCAGGCCAGGCTCTGCCGGACCCTCCTGCAGGCTTGGGCCATCCAGGCCCCCACATGGCCAGACAGAACGGCAGGCCAGAGTGTCGGGGAGGCCTCCGTGCTGACGGTTTAGGCCTGTGTCTGTCTGTCTGGAGAAAACACACAAACAGCCACTCTCCCTTCATCCAAGGGCCTATGCTCCCCTCTGTTTTCGGGTGTCACTGCATCCCCCAAACTGATAGAATGGCCGGCCATCAGGCCCTGGGGCAGCCCTGAGGGGTGTGTGAGCATGTGGCTGAGAGGATTAGGTGGTCTGGCGTGGCTGGGACGCCACATTCCCTCCCTGGGGATGCTGACAAGGTGGAGAGCAGAAGAGGGGTGCCTGGGCAGCACACAGGGAGGGCGCTCTGCCGCCCTCTGAGGCCCAGGCATGGTCACTGGCCTTGCACAGAGTGGAAGCCCAACCCACTCACACAAGTGGTGGAAACATCCAAAACCCAGAATAAGCCCCCTTGTTGGTTATCTACTTATCAACTACCAGCTAAGCAAGATCACAAATATAAGGGAATTTAACAGAAGTTGAGCAAATTCAGCTCTCAAGGTGTTCCCCACAGGAACCGGTCCTCCGCAGGGTGGGAGGCCCCTTGCTGGTCAGGGCGCCAGGGCCGGAGACTGCCCCGGGGCCGGCCCATCTGCCAGCACGCCCTGGTCAGGCTCCCGCCGACACACCCGCTCGCAGACGCCCCGCCCCCACGGCTCACCCACCAGCCACCTCGCGGGCGCCCCGCCCCCATGGCCCACCCACCAGCCAGCGCCTCGCAACGCTCCACCCCCTTGCCGGCGCCCCGCCCCCCTCGGCCCACCCACCAGCCCACGCCTCGCAGATGCCCCGCCCTTCGCAGACGTCCCGCCCCCCACGGCCCACCCATCAGCACAGCAGAATGCGTGCGACACTCGTACCTTTTGTGTCTTCGTCCTCTATGGTGGTGTGGGTGCTGTCCGACGACTCCTGGGGACACACAGGGACGCAGGAGGTCAGGACGTGGCCTCCACGGGCCCTGGAGGTGCCCTCCCAAGGCTGCGGGGCCCCAACCCAGAATCCCCAGGGGCAGGGCAGGAGCTTCGTGCCGGCCCCCAGGGGTCACCCATCCCCTGGGCTCAGCCACTCACGTCCCCAACAGCCCAGGGACGTGACTGTGCCTTCTCCCGACAGCACACGCCTGGTAGAAAGACCCTGTGCTCAGGGTAGAAAGACTCTCTTTAATAAGCCAGGAAGATGGGCCCTTTAAAACTCCACAATACTGGTGAAGAAGAAAAGTACCCACAGCCTGTGCATTTTGGCAGACAGGGTGGGAAGCTTCCAGAAGGCCCTCAAGAGCCTTGGCCCGGCCCAGGCAGAATGGAGCTGCACCCACACCTCCTTCCCCAGGAGGGGGCCGCCTGCCCCTTAGGCCTCGACTGTCCAGCATCACTCCTCAGGTGGCCTTAGAGGGCAGCCGGGCAGCCCCACACCTGGGGGCTTGCCGCCCTTCAGATAAGAAACCAGGTGCTGTTCACCTGTTGCGTGGTTCCCAAGACGCTGGCTTGCTCCTCAGAAAGAACCATCTTAACGGAGTTCTGGAGGGCCCCCTCTGACCCCCTGACTGAACACACTGCTCTGGGCCCTGCCCAGAAGTGGGGGGTCTGCAGCCTGGAGGACCAGACGGTTGTCTAGAGCCCCTTTGCAGGGAGAACAGGAGCCTCTCACCCCAGACACAGGGTCCAGGGACACCGGTCCACAGTCACAAGGCAGGAGTGCACCCAGGCCCTTCCCAGCACCTGGAGTCTGGCTTGGTCCCCCTGATCCCGGCCCACAGCCAGCGTGTGGGGGGGCCCTTTGGGGAACCCAGGCCTGGGTATGTGCGTGTGGGGGTGAGGGGTGCTGGTCCTAGAAACAGCTCAGCCGCCCACGTCCCTCCCGCCACCCTAGAGCCAGCCCCTTCTCTGGCCCGGGCAGGCGAGGTGCCTATGCAGCAGAGATGATGTCAGAGCGGGAGCAGAGAGGAGGCAGGCTGCCTCAGCAGGAAGCACAGGGGGCACAGAGGTGAGCAATGGGGGAAGCCAGGGGCGTCTGAGCTACTCCCTCCCCCAACCGCCCCTTCTCCCCTGGGACCTGCATCTGAGACCACCCTGCGCTCCTGGCCCCTGGCTGCCCGGCGGACAACATGAGATGTAGACCTTGCTCTGGGCCTTGGGCAGCCCCAGACTTGTGGGGCTCACTGTACACCTGCCCTCCTACTCTCAGCACAAGTGCCCCCCAGGGGTCACCGTCCCAGACATGCCCCCCGCTGGCCTGCCTCCTGCCCGAGCATAGGCTCCTAAGGGGGGACGGGGTGCGGCAGTACCTTGATCCCGTCCACAGGGTTATGAATGACGGTGGTTTGAGGCTCCTACAGAAGAAGGAAGCAGAGGAAGGAAAGAGGGAAGTGAGCAGGGCAGGAGGGGGTAGGGGAGGAGGGCAGCGGAGCCAGGATGGCAGGAGGCGGAGCGGGCTGGGGAGGCCAGGGTGGGCCCAGAGGTGGGCAGAGAGCAAGCGTGTATGCCCACGGAGTGTGGGAGACAGCATGGGGGCCCCGGGCAGGAAAACAGGTCCTCCCCTCCCTTGGCTGCCCCGGCATGGTGGGGGCACGGTTTTGAGGATGTCATGGGGGTGGAGTGGCACATGGGATGGACAAGGTCTGAGACGGGGCTGGCTGTGTGGGACCCTCCCCTCCTGGACTGAGGCTGCCCCCACGTGTGAGATGGCTATCTGGCAAACCCAGCCTTCCTGTGGGCATGTGGGGCTGGCTCCCAGAGGTGGGCCTGTGGCCCATGGAAACACCACACGTGCTCTGAGAAAACTCAACCTGTGCGCCAGCAAGCCCCAACAGGCCACCGTGGGCACACAGCTCCACCACAGCACCCTGCTCCACCAGCTGGGGCGTCCCCTGGGCAGGATCCCCCAGGCAAGGGCCAGAGCCAGAACCCCCGGGCTTCTCCCTCCGGGCAGCCACAGGCCAGCACAGCCACAGACGTGCATCTCCCTGGCCGCTGGGGGACTTGTGGGCCACGGCCTCTGATGGGAAGGTACCCCGGCTGGATCTCCACCAGGGAGACTGCCAAGGGCTCCTGTCTCCCTCAGATCACTGGGTGGGCTCCGAGTCCATGACCAGCCTCACCCATTCTTTCCCAAAGCCCCCACGTCCTGGACGGCGCACCCATGCAGCAACTGGGAGGTGTCTTCCCGGCAGGCCACGCCCCTGCACAGTGTCTGCCTGGGCACTCTGGATGGGCCTGCCGAGGGCGGAGGATCAGAAGTGCCTTCCACCCTGGGCCTCGCCTCACTGGCCGCCTGAAGGCCTCTCATTGCTGACTCAGAGTCCACCCGGGCGGGAGGCTGGGCCAGTCCCTGGCACCTGAGGGAGGCTCCCGAGCACAGCCCCAGGACTGCCTGAAAGGGGCTCAGCCCTCATTTCACACCGAAGAGGCAAAGGGGGCTGGAGGACCAGGCGTCCACCAGAGACAGGGCGGGGCTGGACCCCACCTTCACCCCAGGCCTCTGGACAGGTGGCCACCACATGGCCGGGGTGCAAGAGGGCCGGAAGCAGGGGGCTGAGGGGCTCAGTACCAGGGCGGCTGGAGGGAGTGTCCCCTTAGGGCTGGTCACAGCTGCACTGTTTTTGGTGCTGTTCGTCTGGGGCTGTGGAGAGAGGAAGAGGAGGTTAGAGGGACAAGGGGAAACTGCCTGGCCTAGAGGGAGGCCCTGCAGGGCGGTGGGGTAGGGCCAAGCGGCAGGGTCAGGGCTCCCCCCAGGGCCTAGCGCACTCACCTTCACCGCGTCCGCTTTCTTGTTGAGTAAGCTCTTGGCTGCTGCATGAGGACAAAACAGGCAACATGAGCAAAGGGACTGGGGCGAACACCACCCAGCCCTCAGTGTGAGGTGACCTCAGGGACCGGCCAGGCTCTGGGGGCCCCCAAGAGCAAGTGGGCAGGTGAGTGACCCGAGGTCCTGAGGCAGAGTGGCTTCTGTGGCCAGCAGGGACAAAGCAGGCCTGTGGGCCATCCTGGAGAGGCCCGCCCAACACCCTCATCCCCAGGACAGGTTCCTTCCCTGGGCCATGCACCATGACCCTGCAGGACACAGAGATCCCCCCACCCACCAGGGCCCCACCCCAGGTAGGAACACAGGACAGGGCACCAGGGTGGGGTGGGGACATCTGTCTGCCCTTCTCTGTGTTCTTGGGCAGGGGTGGTGGGCTGTAACTGGCCACCCAAGCAGGGAGGGGTGCGTCCCAACCCCAGGGGCCTGCCTGCTCTCAGCCTCCTGGCCCCTTCTCAGCCAACAGGACTCGGGCCCCTGGCTGTGCCCCCACCCCCTGGCTGAGAGCACCCAAGGGGCTGCTTCATTCTTCGTGAACCAGTCCTGGCCTTGCTCTGGCAACATCGGTGCCAACACGGGCCTCTCCATCCACGCCTGAGGACCCTGGGCTCTGAGTGGGTTCAGCAGGATGATACCCTTGGGGGAGGGTCCCAGGCTCCCACCACCTGTAGGATGCTGGGCAGGTGGCCTGTGTCACCCCACTTGACCCCACAGAGATTGGGGCAGACTAGCCCTCACCTCACTCTCTCCTGTGCGAGCCCACCCTGCCCACATCTGCGCTCTCCTGAGTGGTTAGTTTTGATGGTGGAACCTCGGAACACAGGAAGTCAACTTACCTCACAGGAAGGGAAAGGTGAGGACAGAGTAGTGAGGAAAAGAAAAAAAACAGGATTTGTATGGTCAGGTCAGGGTCCGGAGTGCGGCCCAGGACTCAGCCTGGTCCTGCCCACCCCACCCACGCTCCCCGGGGGCAGACGCCGGAGGGGTAAGGTCCAGGGTGGTCAAGACCCCCGCCCCCCTCCCCCCAGCCAGCCCTGAAGCGGAGCCGCCAGCTCAGCGGGACCAGGGTGGTCCCCAGTGGGCCTGGCCCAGGACCCCTCGCTGCCAGGAATGTCCCCGGAGGAACGCCCACTCGGGGCTGTGACATCAGACCCTGTGAACGCTTGGGCCCAGAGAAATGCAGTGGTTCTCAAAGTGGGGTCTCCACGCCAGCAGCATCAGAAACACCCAGGTCCACCCCAGACCTCTGGGGCGGGGTGGGGTGGGGAGGTGGGTGTGGTATCCGTTCAGTTGTCATCTGTCATGGAGGATCCTAACTCTGCTTCACTTTGAGAACCACCGTCAGGTCCCCAGTGCAGCAGCCAAGGGGGATCCCAGGCCTTGGGCCGCTGCCTGCTAACCACCTTCCTCTCTGCAGTCACCCATCGCTGCCCTCTGGGCTCTGGGCAGGGACACAGGTGACTGTGCTGGGCCAGAGGGCGCTGTGGGGCTGTTGGAGAGCCACCCTGGGTGCAGTGTCTGTTCCCGGCCCTCCCCCCACAACCATCCTTTCCTCCCCCAGGATCCAGGGAGCAGCATTGCACCACAGAGCCTGCCTCCTGGCCCAGCTCCGTGTCCGGTGGTCCTCATTCTGTGAGAGGTGTCTTGGGGTCCCAGTAAGCGAAGGGACAACAGGCCACCCCTTTCGTTGCCCCCCAGGCCTGCCTGCTCTGCGTCTCAGCCTCCCGATCCTGGGGAAGCTGGATCAGAACTGTGTCCTGATGCCCTGCCAGCCGAGACCCAAGAACGTCCCAGCACCAAAAATGCCACCTTCTCAGAGCCACTTCCTGCGGCAGGGATTGGGGAGGGGTGGGCCAGCCCTGCACACGGAGCCCTGGCTCCTGACCTAGCGATCAGCATGGCCCCCTTGACCCACACTGACCTCAGCAGTCCGCTCCCTTGACCCCCCACCCCCACCCCAGCGTCCAGTGCGCAGGCAGAGCCCAACTCCTCTGAAGTGGGAGTCATGCGGGGACCCCTCCTCCTGGGCCCACCAGCTTGGGGCGGGTCTCCTCCAGGGGCCAGGAGAGGAAGGCCCCCAGCCCCTCTGAAGGCGCACGCATCAAGGCAGGTGAGCAGGCAGGCAAGCTGACCCCGCACCCAAACTTAAGCCGGGCCCTGCGGCACCCTGTGGGCTCGGCATCAGAGCGGTGCAGCCCAGGGCTGGCTCGGCGCCCTGAGGAGATGCGGTCGGCACTGCCCCCCACCACCCCCCCCCACCCCGAAGCCAGGCCCTGGGTGGAGGCAGATGGAGACCCTGGGACAGACCTGGGTCTTACGAGGGTACTCCCCTCAGTCCCTGACTCAGTCAAATCCCAGACTGTGCTACTCGACACGGCAACACCCATCCGGGGACTCGGACGGCTCCACCAGGGCCCAGGCTCCGGAAAGCCCGACAGCAGACACCAATCCTCTCACCCAGTTCCCAAACCCTGCCCCCAGGAGCCACCTCTAACCAGCATCTGCGAGTGTGGGCGCAGCATGGACTGGAGCTGTGCCCTCCCTGGAAGCAGCTCCTGGAAGAGTTCCCGGCTCCACCCAGATCGGTTCCAGGTCCTAGTCAACCCCCGTTTACACTGGCACTCGAAAGCACACGCTGTTCCATCTGTGCCACGGGGGCCTGAACTGGCGCCCCAGAACCCTGATAGATACACAGAGACCTTCTGGCCCACCCACCGGGGGTCCTCAGGCCAGGCCACGGTTGCCCCCTCCTGCTCCCTTCTTGAGGAAGGCCAAGACACTCCCATGAGCCTCAGCATCTGTCTCTACAAAGACCCCCAGGGCTCCTCTGGCCCAGGTGCTATGTCCCCCAGGGGGCCGCCCCCATGGAGGGGCAACAGCCTTGAAGCTGAGACCCCCCCAGCCCAGTGCCACTGGCTGAGCTGGGCTGACCTAGCAGGGGGGGGCCTCAGCCCACAGGGCGGGCCCAGCCTCTGCCCCGTCTGCACACCAGTCACCCGGGACAGCCATGCTGGGCTCCGTCCTCATGCATTGACCGCACCCGGGACACAGCGGCCCTCGGCGCCCAGGGCACTGCACATGCACACGGCCTCATGCGGTGCACATCCACTGCTGGCAGGCGGGCTGCAGGCAAGGGCCCTCGGCAGAGAGCAGCCAGAGGTCTCACTCGCTGTGGCTGGACAGCAGCTCTTCCCCAGGAGCGCCTAGGTTCCCTGCTCCCCACTCTCCTCCCCTCACCCGCTCTAGAAAGGCTCTGGACATTAAGCCAAAGACATCCTTCTGGGTAGGGCCTTGCCTGCTGGACAGGTCTGCTGCGCTCACAGGAGGGGCACGTACCCTCCTTCCCCAGGGCGGCCTTCCCCTGAGCATCCCATGGGGTGGTGGCTGGGAAGAGGGGCCCTCCAGCTGGGCAGGCGGGGCTGCACACCCGGCGGGGGGATCTTGAGGCAAGAGCTGGGGTGGACGGGGTGGGGGGTGAGGCCTCCACCCCGCCCCAAGGCAAAGCACAAGGCAATGGCAGGACACCAGGCCCCGCAGCTCCATCCGGGGAGTCCTAGGATCGGCCCTCAGCTGGCTCCGTGCACCCTAACCCTGCCCACCCCCGGTTCACGCTGCTCCAGCAGCAGGTCCTGGGGTCTGCCAGCCCTTGGGGCTCTGGCTAAGGTCACAGCTGGGTGGTCGGGGCTGGCTGGAGCGGGTGACAGGGCTCGCGTGGGGCAGGGTCTCTGCCTCAGTGCCTTTTTCCCTGGGGCCCCCCATTCAGGGTTCGGACCCAGCAGCAACCCTGAGGTTTCTTATGGGCAGTCAAGGTCACTGGGAACGGGGGTCTTGACAGACAAGTGGGGAGAGAGATCAGAGAGCAAAGGGCTCTGACCAGAGGGGTCTCCTGACCCCCAGACTCAGGGGCCAGGACCAAGATTCAATGAAATGAGTGTGGGCGGAGGCACGGCTTAGGGGTCACCTAGCCCGGCCCCTCCTTTAGCAGGTGGGGTCCGAGACCCTCCTTGTGGGACCTGTGCACAGCGGGAGCGGGGGCTCCCGGGGCCTCTGGGGTGGCCCTGGAGGCCCAGCCGGCAGCTGCGTGCAGCGAGGGGGCTGCGTGCCGACAGGCGGGACCCTGGTCAAGAACATCTACCTTGTTCCACCAGCCCCATGGTGGTGCCGGAGGCCGCGGTGGACATTGTGGCTGGAGCGGTGGTCTGTCTGCCCACTGTTAGCACCGGGTTAGAGACGAGGGAGGGGCGGACACAGACGGGGCGGGCAGGGGAAGGGAGGGGGAGAGACAAAGGAAGCAGAAGAAAATTAGAGTCCACGGTTGGGTGGCGAATGGCTCCAGAGTCCCGTTCACAGGAGAGTGGGAACAGGACCCAGACCAAGTGACAGTTGGAAAGCGTCTGCCTCCTTTCTCCTTAGAAAACCCCCGCGGGGGCTTCTCGCACCCACTGGGCGGGTGTGCGCACAGGACAGGTCCTATTAGTGTTGGTGTGACAGCATGCCCCCCCTTCCCTGCAGCAAAAGTAACAGGATGGGGTGCTGAATACAAACGGACAAGAACGGACCCCAGACGCTCTCGCACCCGACGACGCGGGCGACAGACAACCACAGGACAGCCAGAGGGTGACCTGCCCCTCAGGGAGACGCTGTGCCCAGCGGGCCTGCCGGGGCCCCTGGCCTTGGGGTCGCTGACAGACCCCCTAGAGCAGCCGCACGCTCCCAGCCCCACCCACCCTCAGTGCCCCAGGTGGGCGGCCGCCAGCATGTCCAAAGCTCAGCAGGGAGGTCCCGGGCTCTCCTCTCCCCTCCCACACACAGAACGGGTGCTCAGATGGTCAGGACAACAACGAGGCCACAGAGGTGCTGACCAACACCCGGACAGACACACAGAGCTGTGGCCCAGGTGGCAGGCAGCTCAGACACTGGGGCGTCAGGCGAGGACACAGAGACCCAACACGCAGGGACGGGGCCGAGTGGGGGTGGAGGGTGGACCCCGGGGTGTCGCCCATGGAGCCCAGGCCTCGCTGCCCTCAGAGGACAGAAGGCCAGGCTGCTGAGCAGTGGAGGAGAAGGGCCATCGGGGTGAGAGGGGTGGGCCGTGGACCACAGGCTGGTGGTGAGCCTTCTCTTCGGGGCGAAGACTGTTCTCACCTGAGAAATTTCTCGTGGCCAGCATAGTGGTGAGGATGGCACCCTGGGGAGAGACATATAGCTGAGACCAGGAATCCCAGCCCCGACCTCAGGCTCTGGGTGCCCGGGCAGAATCAGGGTCACAGCCTTGTAGACACAAGACTACAAAAGTGCCAGCTGCATGGCCAGGCCTCCTTCTTGCAGAGCTGAGACAGCGGCTGCCCACTGACCACAGCCCTCCTGCCTGCAGTAGTGCTCCGGGGAGACCCACGAGGGGCTGGCCTTCCACAGGTCAGCCCCCTGCCACCTCCCCCCGACCCCCAGGCACCAGCTAGGGTGCTCTCCTCACCAAGCCCACTAGGGTCTGCGGCTGGCTGCTGGCTCACACGAAAGCAAGCAGCAGCGACCAGGTGCACAGCATGCCCTAGGGGGCACCTGGCCCACGGGCAGGCTCTGTGCACCTCCAGTGTCACTGTCATGTGGGGGCTGAGTCCACCTGGCACGTCTGGTCTAGGGTGGTGCTAAGGTCACTGGGACCCCTGTGCCTCCCCTTACCAAGCCAGCCAGGACCCCTCTGGCCTCTCTGAGCCTGGGGCGGTTGAGGGCAACACCCCCGGGGGGGGTGGGGTGGGGTGGGGTCAGCAGGCAGGGGCCGGGGGGACTGGGCCAGGTCTCACCTTGAGCTTTCTTCGGGCATTGAACTTCTTCAGGCACTCCACAGTCTCCTGCCTGTGCATCATAGAGGCCACAGTGGAGCGTTGCTGTGGAAAGAGGGATGTTAGCTTTGCACCTGAGGCGACTCGAGATGGGGATCAGGGAGAGGGACAACAGGGCCGTGGCACCTACGGGGGCCAGCAGGAGGCCATCCATCCCAGCTGCTGCCTGGCCCCAGTGCATCACCCCTTACAGCCTGCCTGCCCCCACCTCATCCTCACCCTGCTGGCACCCCAGACAGCTGTGTCCCCGACCTACGGCCCCCTGGCTTGTCCCTTGTCAGCCTCCACGCCCTGTTCCCTTACATGAGGGACGGGGCCTCTCTACCCCCAGAGCCCCGTCCTCCCAGAGACTGAGGCCTGTGCCGTGCCCAGCAGACCAGGGGGCCCGTCAGAGGTAAGGAGCGGGGTCAACGCGTTGGGGACACTTACGCAGACCCACGGGTGCTTCAGCGCCTCGTGTGCGGTAATGCGCTTGGCGGGGTTGATGGTCAGCATCTGGTTGATGAGGTTTTTGGCTTCAGGAGTGACCGTGTCCCACTCGGGGGATGGAAACTAAAAAGAAAGCAACACGTGGGAGAGCCTGAAGCCCCCACCCCAGGCAAAAGCCCGAATTCTCCGAGGAATCTCATCCAGGTCATGATTCTGGGGAGCAGGTGGTCCTGCCCATTCCCTGTCCCCCGCCCCGACAGGGCGGGGTCCTAGCACTCACATCGTAGGCCCCCGCCTTGATCTGCTGGTACAGCTTGTGCTGGTCCTCGTCCCAGAAGGGCGGGTAGCCCACAAGCAGGATGTACAGGATCACCCCTGCGCAAAGCAGAGCGCCGGCCTCAGGCTGCCGCCTGGCCCGCAGCCCCTAACCCTGGAGCCCTCGCCCTCTCCCAACCACCGCCCAAC